AGGCCTAGATTAAGGTGTTCTGGGAGTTATTTCTTAAAGTAATATACCTATATCTTACTAACCTGCTGGTTAGGCCTTCTAGTATATATAAGTGCCTGATTTGCCCATACTTCTAGAAGCCTGGGAGTTACTGGCATACATACATTATGTATAAAGGTTATCTAGTATATTAAGGCTTCCTCCTGATACCCCTTAAGTACTTTATTAACTGGTTTCTAAGCTGTACAAGCCTGCGAGGCAGATTTAATGTAGTTTTATAATATTTAATAGGGAACTCTATATTCCCGCGTAATCTTAGAGATATTTAGTTTTTTTTAAGCTTGGGCAGCTGCGCACGCCTTAAGCATGCAAGATTCATTAAATTTAGGGGCTTTTAGCATGTTGTGTGGTTGGAATAGCTTCAAATGATCAATTCAATAAAAATTGGAAGTTATGGTGTGGTTAGAAATTACGGTGTGGTGCACCCACACTGGGAAGCGGGGTGGGGCACAGATAGGGCCTATGATGGTCCTTAATATTAAGGTACGGACTACGGAGTACTGGGACTGGACTTTTCCCACGCTCTTGTTTGTCCTATTTTCGTGGGATATTATTCGGCCGAAAACCGACGAGCTCCTCATACCTGCGTTCAATGGCGTCGATGCTTATAGGGTGCGGCTGCAAGATGCACGCAGCACGATTACCGAAGAACAGCAACGACCAACTAGCCTAATAACAATCCTTCTCCCACTTGGTTCTGTGTACATCTTCCCCAGTTAATTCTTCTTCCATGACTTGAAGAAGTTTACTGATCAAGTAATTTCCTTCAACTTTCCCTTCATGTCAGCCGTACGAGGCCATCTTCTTTTTCGGGGTTTCCCCGCATATCCCCGCGCCATTCTTCGACAAACCAAAACTCCCCATGTGCAAGTTTCGACATTCAGAGCTATTCGGTATAACAGCTCCAATAGCTCAGAGATCACTTCTAAAAGCCAGAGGAATTTTGCTGGATCAAATTTCCCCGCTCAAGCGGCTCCCGGCTTCTGGACGTCCGGCAAGGCGCTCCTTGCCTGTGTCTTAGCTGCTGGCATTGGCTACGCATATGCTGCCACTAGTCGGCCGTCGCAATTGGAGAGTTCAAAAAAGCCTCGATATGGAACGGCAGAGGATTTCGAAAAGGTGAGAAATTCGCAATCAATCGCTCTGTGGAGCCAAGCATACGATGCTGATTCTGGCCTCAACGATGCATAGGCCATTGCTGAATTGCGAATCACGCTCGGCGATGATGCTATTAGTACGGACGAGGGTGAACTTCAACAGCATGGATACTCAGAATGGTCTTCTGTGAACGCGGATCGTCTTCCGGTCGCCGTTGCCTACCCAACGTGCACAGAAGATGTGGTGAAGATCGCCAAAGTTTGCCACAAATACAGGATGCCAATGGTTCCATACTCCGGCGGTTCAAGTCTCGAGGCAAATTTCTCAGCTCCTTACGGCGGGTTGACCATTGATTTTGCCATGATGAACAAGATACTTGAGATTCACGAAGATGATATGGATATCGTCGTCCAACCATCCATCCAATGGATGGAACTAAATGAGAAAATCAAGGACACCGGTCTCTTCTTTCCAGTCGATCCTGGCCCGTCCGCAATGATCGGTGGCATGATTGGGACCAACTGCAGCGGGACCAATGCAGTGCGCTATGGAACAATGAAGGACTGGGTGATCAACCTGACAGTCGTCCTGGCAGATGGCCGGGTAATGAAGACTAGGAGACGCCCCCGAAAGACCTCCGCTGGCTATAACTTGACAGGAATGTTTGTAGGCTCCGAGGGTACTTTGGGTATTGTCACCGAAGCAACTCTCAAGCTCGCTCCGATTCCAGAACAGACTCGGGTTGGAGTTGTTGCATTCCCCACGATTCGGGATGCTGCGTCGACTGCCATGCAACTTATACGAAAAGGAGTCCCGGTACAGTGCATGGAAATTCTGGACGATGTCCAGATGGATGTCATCAACCGTGCTGGCGGTACTGGCCGGACTTGGAAGACTTTACCCACCCTTTTTTTCAAGTTCTCTGGTACTAAAGCTGGAGTCTCTGACAGTATCAATCTGACGAGAGAACTTGCCAAGAGCAACAATGCAGCATCATTCGAGTTTGCCCGAGACGACCGAGAGGCACATGATCTTTGGTCGGCGCGAAAGCAGTCGTTATGGAGCATGATGTCCTTGCGGAAGGAGGGTTCGGAAGTGTGGTCAACAGATGTTGCCGTTCCGATCTCCAGGCTACCTGATATTATAGGTAGGGCTCAATCTAATTACCTTCGAACCTGCGCTGACGTGAATAGAAATTTCAAAGAAGGAGCTTGACAACCTGGGCTTGTTCGCCAGTATTCTGGGTCATATCGGAGACGGAAACTTCCATTCGAGTATAATGTACGACAGAAAGGATGCCGACCAAATGGAGCGGGTTGAGAAGGTCGTCCACGATATGGTCGACCGCGCCCTAGAGATGGAAGGATCTTGCACCGTCAGTATAACCAAGCTCCTCCCAGTATCCGCAAACTAGCTAACTTCGGACGACAGGGCGAACACGGCGTGGGGCTGGGCAAGAAGGCATCTTTGAAAAAGGAGCTTGGCCCGGCTACTCTTGATGTCATGCGTAGCATCAAGAAAGCCCTTGATCCTCACTGGTTGTTGAACCCTGGTAAGATCTTCGACTATGAAAGTGAGGCATCAACATGAGGTAGAGTAAGAGAAAAACAACTACCCTTCAAGACTTCTCCAGATGGAGTTCTGGCCTCAGCGGCAATGCATTCGAGACGATGATACCACAGCCCTTGCGTGCATATATTGGCTGAGACCAATGATTCTATGAGCAATTTGTACATCTATGATGTGAATAATAATAGCAAGCGACCTACCTACCTACCTACCGTCCTGCCTTAGATATCTCATTGAATTCATCCAATAACATTGCTGGATTTTGCTGACTAGATAGCGCACAGGCGGTGGGTGCTGACTCATTGTGGGGCTTAGCGCGGGACGGTGCGATATCGCAGTCCCTAAGTAAGTCGTAAAAAGATACCTTTGATATTGTTGCAACAAGCGTCTCTCCTCAAACCCTCGGTGAGCATTAATCAAAAGGTTAGTTAATATATTTCCTGTGTGTGGAATTGCTCGTGTGTTGCGTTTGTCAAAAGAATATGATGTTTGTCGCTTGAAGGAGTGGGCAATGGAGACTGTGCCTGCGGGGCATTGAATTCTAGATGAAGGCTTTTCGAGTCATACACCTGGATTCGCCTGCTTTGCCCAAGGCTTTGCATGTCGTTGGATTTCTCTGTATGACTGATGGATGATGGACTTCTCATTCTTCGAATTTAGCTCATCCCTGTTCTATCCAGCCAATTGACTCCAAAACCAGGTCGACTGAGCCGTACTTCACCCTGATTACTCTCAAATCAAGATGGCATCATATCCTAAGAAGAAGTGCGGTATGGGCATATTGTGCAGTCCATATCTCCCCTAAATCATTATTACTCACAGCGCGACAGGTGTCCTAGGCGCAACCGGTTCGGTCGGCCAACGATTCATTCTCCTCCTCGCGGACCACCCTTTCCTAGAGCTGCACGCCATTGGCGCGTCGAATCGCTCGGCCGGCAAGAAATACAAGGATGCTGTCAGATGGAAGCAGACTACGGCTATGTCTGAGAGGCTCAGCAATCTCGTTCTGCGCGATTGCAGGGCTGACCAGTTCAGCGACTGTGACCTTGTCTTCTCCGGGCTCAACAGCGACGTAGCTGGTGAAATTGGTGCGTGATACTATTATCTCGAGATTAAAGTGCGAGGGGCCGCCGCTGACCCTCGCAGAGATGGAATTCATCAAGGCCGAGATCCCTGTCTTCTCTAACGCCAAGAACTATCGAAAGCACCCCCTTGTTCCTCTCGTCGTCCCTACCGTCAACCCCCATCACTTGGATCTCATTCCTCACCAAAGGAAAGAGTTCGGCCTGAAGAAGGGTTTCTTAGTTTGCAATTCTAACTGCGCTGTGATTGGCGTTGTCATCCCTTTTGCCGCTCTCCAAGCCAAGTTCGGTCCTGTTGAGGATGTGGAAGTTTTCACCGAACAGGCCGTGTCTGGCGCTGGCTACCCTGGTGTTCCCAGTATGGACATCATGGACAACGTTATCCCCTATATTAGTGGTGAAGAGGACAAGCTTGAGAACGAAGCCCAAAAGATTCTGGGTTCTCTGAACGCCGATGCCACTGCCTTCGATGAACAAAAGGGGCTTACGGTTGGAGCCACCTGCACTCGTGTTGGTGTTACCGATGGCCACATGGCTTTCGTCTCATTGCGGTTCAAGAACCGGCCCGGGCCCAGCGCGGAAGAAGTCAAGCAGGCTATGCGAGAATACCAATCCGAGGCCCAAAAGCTTGGGTGCCCTTCTGCTCCTCAACAGGCGATCAAAGTTTTTGATGAGCCTGACAGACCTCAACCCAGACTTGACCGGGATATCTCGAAGGGATACACTGTCAGTGTGGGACGTGTTCGTGAAGCAGCATCGGGCAGCCACTTCGACCTGAGATTCGCTGCACTCTCTCACAACACCGTCATTGGAGCTGCAGGATCGTCTATCCTTAACGCCGAGGTTGCAGTCATCAAGGGCTACATTTAGACTTGTGCAGACTTCTTAAGCGAATTTGTTGTATAGCGAATTGAGGAACGAAAATACCGATTTCAGTTTTAGAGACATCTAATCATTATTTACCAAAAAATTAATTGGAACTCGCGTGAGAGGTATAACTATGTACTCCGCATTATATAAGCATATGCATAATCTTTGATTCATGCAGGTGGTTCCAGATTAGGCATAGCGCTAGGGCTCCTCCCACAAGAATGATCCGCTAAGCGAATTTCGTGAGTGGAGCGGATATCACCTCTTCTTGACTTTGACCTTGGTTTTTTCTTCCGTGACACTTCGACAACTAACCGGGTTCAAGTCGACAAAGCAGTCAAGATGCCTCGCGGACCGTGAGTTACACACCATGATTAATTTTATCTCGGCTCGCAAGCTGCGACAGTGTTTCGGTCAACGGGGTCTTTCTCGCGAAACAAGGAGCAATACTTGCAGCGACCGAGTTCTGAATTGAAGAGCTTGAAACTGACCATGAACTTGATTCCTACAGTAAGAAGCACCAGAAGCGCCTCAGTGCGCCCTCGCACTGGCTCCTGGACAAAATGTCCGGAACCTATGCTCCCAAGGCCTCCCCCGGTCCTCACAAGCTCCGGGACTGCCTCCCCCTGATCGTCTTCATCCGCAACCGTCTCAAGTACGCCCTGAACGGCCGTGAGACCAAGGCTATCATGATGCAGCGTCTGATCAAGGTCGACGGCAAGGTCCGCACTGACCCTACCTACCCCGCTGGTTTCATGGACGTCATCGGTATCGAGAAGACCGGCGAGAACTTCCGTCTCATCTACGACACCAAGGGTCGCTTCACCGTCCACCGTATCCAGGCTGAGGAGGCCGAGTACAAGCTCTGCAAGGTCAAGAGAGTTCAGCTTGGCAAGGGCGGGATACCATTCTTGGTTACGCACGATGCGAGAACGTGAGTGAAATGCTCTCCACAAGTTCCGCGTCATTCAGTCGTTGGACCAAGCTTTGGTTGATCGGCGGAGGACGAGAGGGCTTGGATATCCCCAAATCCTTACTGGAATCAGTAAGAGGTTGAACATTTGGTGCAGTTTGTGCTGACCGAGATGAATCTAGCATCCGCTACCCCGACCCTGCCATCAGGGTCAACGACACTGTGAAGGTTGACATTGCCACTGGCAAGATCACCGAATTTGTCCGCTTCGACACTGGTGTTGTCTGCATGGTCACCGGTGGTCGTAACATGGGTCGTGTTGGTGTCATCACTCACCGTGAGCGCCACGATGGAGGTTTCAACATCGTCCACATCAAGGACGCTATTGACAACTCCTTCGCCACCCGTGAGTCCAACGTCTTCGTCATTGGACAGGAGAAGCCCTGGATCTCTCTGCCCAAGGGCAAGGGTGTCAAGGTACGAAATCACATCCCGAAAATTATAATTCCAACGCGCATCTGCTCACAATTAATCTAGCTCACCATTGCTGAGGAGCGTGACCGCCGCCGTGCCTACGCTCTCGCCAACTAAATGTGGTATGGTAAGTGCCAATGGTGAAGGACATAATAAAAAAGCCTTCAATAATCCGCTGGGACGTCGACGTCTTGTCTTGCTTTGTGGCCTGTACGATGCCGGTTCATGAGACGATTCTATGATGCGTAATCTGAAAAAAGAAAGAAAAGTTTGTCTCAATACGCATTCAAGGGATCTGATGGTTCATGCGACATCAGGTTCAGACCTCTCGTAGGATCCATCTATAGCAAAACAGGAACGGAGTGTCTCACTGTTCTTTGATATGATACCTATGATTTATTCTTTTTTCATGAGCACTCTCTAATTCTGATTCCCTTTCATTCCCTGCTGTTCAGCTCATGCACTCTAGACATGTAGTTTTCACTCGAAACACCCAAGCGACAATCTACATAGGCAGCAGACCAGTACTAGGTAGCGTGAAGACGGCCGTAGCCTGGATCCATATCCTTTGCAAAGCATCAAGACCGTGAAGCAAATCTGGACTTGCATGGAGTCTGGTACGTGAGCTTCTCATTGCTTAAATTTCTCATGCAGAACCTATGAAAATAGCCATTTTTAAAGCGTACGTGCTGGAATTTATTCCAAATCCATATGAGAAATAGAGACAAGAGAGGAAAAGGAATGACGGAGAAGACTCCATTCATTTCTCAGAATCAATGAATGCAGAAATCAAGCCCTCACTTTTAGGACTAAGTGACCAGTCAATTGAGCCGTCGATCTCACTTGGTTTTTCTAAGTGCGTCGTTGTAAATGGAATAGTTACCTATGTAATGAGCCAATGCAAGGCTAGTTACAAGCCCACTACTGAGAACCTATCATCTCCAAATTCCATCGCAACTTCGCAAGTTACATACCTAGTGATCAATCGAACCAGGGGAGCGGGCTGTCAATGGAATCCTGTTGGTCAACTGAACTCAATTCCCATTTTTGTTGATTTGATTTGATCACTTGGCCACAATTACTCCGTAGTACCTACCTGACTAGGCTCGATTTTTATTGGCGAATGCTCTCCAGTGCAAGTGTCTAGCAATAATAGGTATGCGCAGCAATTCATCATCCTGGCCAACTATGTGTCTAAGCCACCCGACGCTATGGAAGCACTCAGTACAGTATCCTTCACTGGACGTAGGCCATTCTCGCTCCCTTGTGTCTTCAGCAGTACTCGTTGGGAAGTTCATTCGGCCCGTTGATGGTACAGCGCCCCACCGCTTCAAAAAGGAGCATGGCCGTAACGAATGATCTCTTCTCCGATTTCTTCTTGCTCTTAGTCCCTGATTCGAAGGACGGGTGAACTTGCAACGATCAACAACTAATAACAATATCCAGACAACTCACAGCTCTCTCGATTGTCGCATACACAGACATTAATCTGTGGCCATCCAGACCATCATACCAGAATCCAACCAAAGGCAAAAAGAGACAGAAGGTCACACTGGCCTTAGATGAAAGCCCTGTGATGTCTGTTTCCCAAGAATCCAGATCTCTCTTTTTTCTCTGGTCGCGGACGTGGACAAGCTGATGTGAATGGTTTCGTGCCACGAAGAGCTCCACTAGAGCCAAAACCTTCCTACAGAGTACAAGGCCACCTCCGACGCTAGTATGTTTCATTAGTTCGGTTATCTCAGGGTGGATAGGTAACTTTGGCCCAGCGCTAATGTGAGATACAGATACCATTTATATAGGGCAATACAACGTCGAAATCATGTGCCTCCGCAGGACAAGGTCTTCTTGACGGACGCTCCGATTCGACTTGGTTCGTTCATCGTTTAATGACGATAATAGGTTCAGTTTGATGATATCCCTCTGCGCTGCGATAATTAATAACTTGGAGCCGAAGGCAAGGGAGAACTTGAGATCCAGGACGCCAGCTGCTTTCCTCACCAACCGGCGCATAAAGACCTACTACCGTTATTACCTCGATACGAGATTTCAACTCCTACTGATGGATCTATCTAGTTGCCCAACCATGGACTAATATTAAGGCATGTGTCGCAAATTCAGGTTACGTAGTCGACTGTCGACATAAATTTGAACATAGTTATACCGGTCCAAGATTGATGACGTTGAATGCATCACCTTCTTGAGGGAGAACTACAGTACCCAGTGGCACCGACAACAAGTACATTAGCAGTTAGCATCGGCAAGAATTGTATGGTAGCAACCATCTATCATCTAGCAAGTACTTGAAAATTGGGCGCTTTCTTCAATCTCCGCACTGGGCTGTTACTCCGTCAATGATGATCCACCGTGCACGACTTGTAACCTGGAACCGAATTCGGATCGACACGGCCCCGACCGACGCCCAGTTCCAGAGTTACAGACTAGCTTGGGTGAGAAATATTGAAGTCATTCCAAAGTCATTCCAAGGCCCAATGCAGTGCTTGCAGTTGTGATCGCGCATTTGGATTGCAGTGGCGTTGGATAGCTATGGCTCAACCAAGCCTACAAAGCTTTATTACTTGTCCAGCAGCACCATCTGCTGCGTTCTACTGTGCAGGTCTCGAGCTGAAAGAATGTGTCTCCTTAAGGCATGTTTAATTTGTACATTCTACCTTTGCTCCATAGTTGTCACATTTAACGTAAGGAGAGGCAGTGGCGAGTGCTGCTGTGGAGTACCTTTTCAGCTCCATCCGTGAGACCTGCAGTCAATTTGCTCTTACAAACATGCTTGATTCATTGCTCCTCAATTTCTCATCTCTTTCGGTCATCTCCAAGGGCGCGTCAGAGGCGAGAATTCTGACGACGCTTGTGTCTCGAAGGGGTCACACCGCTACAGACAACAGGAGTATGCCCGAAGCTCCCTGGGGTAGTGACACAAGGGGAGCGCACCCAGGGCGCATCGAGTACGCACACACACGACCGATTGCGCACAGGCGGAATCTTCCAGGCTTGACTGGTGTAATCCATTCTTGGGCTTGCGAGGACAGTACAGAGTACAACAGCAGCCCTGTTGGTTCTTGACCGCTTCTCTCTGTCTCTCTCTGTCTCTCTCCCTCTTTCTCAATCTCGGAGATTTAATACTGATGAAATAATAGTTGAAAGGACTAGTTAACAGGTTGGCGACGTTGGAGAGGGTTTACCAACTGGACCGTCGAAGGCCACCGAGCCCAACGGTGGGATGCAGTTTGATACCAGCCAGGTACGTCAAATCCACATTTGAATAATTATTGGGTAGTTAGATAATCGTAATTTGTGGGAATTGATTGAGGAAGATTCGCTCTCGGCCCTCGATTTCTATTTGACATTCTTTCTGCCTTTGCGTTGACGCAGTTGCCGCTCCGCAGCCGCCGCTGCCGTCGTCTCCTTCACTTACCAATGAAAATGGGCGTACTCGGGTATATGGCAATGGCAGTCCTAACACGATGATAATAATATGATATCTTAGCGTTTAATAAAGGCTATCATTTGATCAGCGGTGGCTACTGCCCAACGCCCCAACCCCTTTCTTCCAGTCACTGCAACACTAGGTAGGTATGGAGTACGGATAAAACACGGACGTTCAATGAATTAGTCTATGTAATACTCCCTGATCCGCCAACCTGATTCACCCCCGGTATTTCCTCCGTATGATAGACTATTGACCCAAAATGGATAGTCTAATCCTTCAGCAGTCAATCATAACTCCTATGTGAACGTTCCCCCTCCCGCTTTCAAGGTTAACCTGGCTCCTGGGACCCAGTGATTTGGGTATGGGTCATCTCCTTTCGCCCTTCTCCATGCGCCACTTTGCCGCCATGCCTCTCTGTCCTGCAGGCCTGAAGCTCTAAAGAACTGTTTACTAGTCTTTCCGGCCAATGATGAAGGAATCGAGAGACCCATATATTTCCCTCGTGATTTGTATAACGTGGCAAAAGGTTGCAGATTCAAGTGGTAAGTATGCTTTCTGAGACGACAGCCCAAGCTCTGGCCCCTTGGGAAATAAGAAAAGAAATGGGACAGGGAAAAGAAGAAGAAGCAAGAGAAGAAGGGAAAAGCCACAGCTGAAGAAAAAGGAAATTGAAGCTCTTAGCTGTAATAATAATAGAAGTCTCCATTCCACCTCTCCCACTTCTCCAACGCCGATATTGTTCCCCCATAGCTGCCTTGGCTTGTTACCTGTTGCTTCCTACCTCACTTGCGTGGTTTTTCTTTTTCTTCTCTTTTCTTTTTTCCTCTTAAACTTTATCCTGCTACGGGGTATGATTCCCGCTCACAGACTTCTTTGATCAACAAAGATTCGAAGTCGCTTTCCTCCTCAAGACTCTTCGACTGCTGGACTCTGGATCTCTGGAGATAGGACCTACCAGCGGTCTTTGGACTCATGTCAGCTTGACAAAACGCAGAATCTCGCTCAGAAACATCAAAGGTAGCAGGTTACGGTATCAGCCCCTCCATGCTTTCGAAGTGATTGATATGGTTCTCAGACTTCTGAGATGTACTCCGCCAGCGCCTACGAAGAAGCCGTGTTTGAGCCGTCGCCTGGGATAAGAGCGACCTCGTCCGACAATAGCTCTCTCCTCTTATCAAGTAGAGAGACCGACATGTCCCGGTATTCGCCCGGTTATGCGGTGGGGGAAGCAAGCAGCGTAACATACATGCCGGAGCAATCCAGTTATACGTCCTTGTTCCGCTCAGACTCCGAGATCCCACCCTTCTTTGTACCCTACCGCTGGTGGGAAGATGAAGCCACTACGGTGCTCTGGGCGTTTGATGTGCAAGAGATCAAGCGCGTGATCCGCTACGGGCTCTTTCGTGATCCCAATCTCCCCCGCACCTCGCTACAAAGCCGCAATGCAACCACGATAGATACCTTCTTGCTCTCACTTCTCGAGCCGCACGAGAGATTCCTCCTTTCCAACCTGTCTCATGTTCAAAAGGTGGAAGAGATTCTTCGCCGGTCAACGATTAGCAGCCCTCCTTCTGTTCCCTGGAGTTGGTTTCCCTCACAGAAGGATCGAGACCTGGATCCTCGCGCATTGGCAAGAGATATTGATGCCGAGAGTCATCTCCACTTTAAGCACATTTCCTTTGAGGATGTTGTCCGTTACTCCTTGGGGTATCCAGCCGCCTCCGTCGATTGGTTTCTGCAACAGCACACTGCCTTTTACATTCACCTCTTGACCTATCTCAGTGCATTTCCCGAGGAAGTAGCGTGGTATACTGAGGTTGAGAAGGTTGGCGGCCTTGCACAAGCGATGAGGTTGTAGATTCTTCTTACTGACACTCATGCACAGCACCTCCGAGGCCGAAGCCCCTTTGCCCACCGTGTCTTGGTTCACTGTCTGCTCTCTATGCAGTCTCAGACCGGGTTGGATGTGCCGCTGGTCTCGAGTCAAACGTTGGCGTTCGAATTCATAGCCGGGCCTATTCAGAACCTATTCCAGGATTCCCCACCGAGCCTTACCTCCATTCTCAAGGTACTCTCCGTCCTCAGGGTGCGCTTTCAGCAAGCATACGTGCATGCACGGGAAATGAACTGGGTTCGGCCCTTCAACACCAGCGTGTGTTTCTTGGACGACCTTTTGGCCTCGACATCGGCCGTGGACTTTGCACGAACCCTGACAAATATCGACGAGGGCCAATTCTCAAATCTGACGCCTCCATCAATTGCTGAGGAGAGTTCCGTAGCCATACGCTTGATCGAAGAATGGGAGCTGTTAAGCACAGCCGTGTGGGAATGCTGCGCAGCCTTGCCAGGTCTGGTACCATATTTGCAGGAATGTGCAGAGGTGCGTACGGAGCTATTATCGAGCTGATGTCCTACCTCGATCCACCATCAACCCTGACTGGTGACACAGGCTCTCTTGACCACTCGCAATTATCACTCGTTCACTGCTGTTCTGAATGGTCTGCAGAAGTACAGCATCACAGCTCTGACGATTACCAACACCAACAACGGCACTAGTACGGTAGCTCTGAATCCGGTGTTACCCCCTAACTTAGCCTACCTGGTGAACCCCTTTAGGAATTATGCTGCCTATCGCCGGCAGTTTCAAGAGTTCCCAGGCATTCCGTTTCTCTCTCCACACCTTCGGGAAATCAAACAGCACGGAGAGCCAGCATTGCGCCAATTCTTCAACAACTTGCAGATTCGTACACGCTGATGAACGAGTGCAGATATGTAGGCATCTCTTGGTATAGGTTTCGTTGTTACAGAAAGGATAGAACTACCGCTTGTCTATGGGGGGATGACATTTGTATGTGGTATATTTAAATTGATATCATCTAGTTGGTTGGGTTACAGGATTTTGGATTCAGACCATGAATTGCCTTTCGCACATAGAATGCGTTAATCGCCTATTTAGCAGCCTCATTCACGAGTCTCTTCAAGCCTTTCAACTGGAGTGATCAAAGGGGAGCTGTCATTTTCTCGTTCCACCTCATTTCGCTGATATCATGGATCTTCGATAGAGACAGACCTTTCAGACGCGCCGAGTCGCTCAAAGAATCATCGAGTCCGCTCATGCAGCACCTCGCAAGAACGTTGCAAGCAATACATCATCATTGCCGATCCTCAACCTGTTTCAAGCCCCCTTCTGGATTTTATTCGCCGGCGCCCTCGCCTCTCCAAACAAGCCCGCCAAATAAGCAATTCGATTGATCATCAGAAAACCCGTGATCGCCACATTCCCCCAGGTCAAAACATTCCAATTCATAACGTCGACAAATCTGTCATGACCCATGCAGCAGTACGTCACGTAGATGTGGCCCACATCCGCGACGGCCAGAGCATAGAGGTAGTTACGCAGCACCCTGGGCTCGGTGGTCGAGTAGCAGATTCCGATGCCTAGGATACTGAGGAGACCATAGAGGTTTGCTAGCTGGAAGGCGAGGGCTGCGCTGGTTGGGTGGATGGATTCAGGGCCTGCGAGACCAGGAATTTGATCTGTTATGAACGCTTTGAGGTCCCAGAAGGGGAGAGCCCAACCCCCGATACTGTGTCTATTAGTTGATTGCATAAAAATGGAAGATGTAGATGGCAGTGAGGGCGTACAGGGTGATCGGCTCTATGACGGCAAAGAGGATGTGAGGCCAAGTTGGGAAAACAGTGGACATTTTCAGACTTGATGAATCGATTCTTGGCTCGAATTGAACAGACTTGATTCGGAAGATGCGCGATATGATGAAATTGACTAGGTATGCACCCTGTAAGAGAGATGAAGCTATTGGTTGTTGTTTACTAAGAGGGCACTACGCGCAGAGAAGTAGATGTGATCAGATCCTGAGGTGTTCGTACTCATCATCAGCCTAATGCCTGCCCCCTTACTCAAAACAGTGAATACACATTTTGTCCTTCAAACTGATCTGTATTGCCCTCTCTGAATCATCTTGATTCTGGTGAATTGATTAATATCCAGGTTTCTGGGGCAAACCCAAGGATCTAGATTCCCAATGGACCCGTCATGGCGGCCTTAGTCATCTGCATCGAAAACCGGAACTGCGCTTCTGGCACAATCTCCCTCCCGTAATGCTGCCTGGGGTTCCATCATGATCCCATCAGGATTTCGGGCAATTCTTAACCTGCTTTTCTGCTTCTTCTGATGGTAGAGTTTCCAATGCCTCTCGTCACAATGGACTGTGCAACATCTCTTGGTTGTTCGGTGATGTCCATCATCGCATTGTGACCTGCCTTTCAGATGGCACGAAACCCTACAATGGATACTAACGGCGCTTTATCCCGACCTCTTGATGAGTCTCTGTTTCGCGAACTTCCACAGCTCCAAAGTCTCCGCATTGCTCCTCTCCGTCAGCCGGTCTCTTCCCGTTTGCTGAGCGTTCCATCACCTCTCGAACCGAATGCCAGTGGAATCGGCGAGCCAAATGCCAGCACCAAATCCAATACGCCTGGCGCAAATCAGCCCGCCAATCTCCCCACTCTTACGGAGTTCTTGAACGCTGCCCAGTCGAAGAAGAACGGTCATGCGGTGGACACGCTTCTGAGCTTGGAGCCCCCTCCAAAAACCATATTACCAGCTTTTGTCAACCTACGAGCTTTGGAACGATTCCCGTATTCCTCGTTCGACGATGACTCTCTGGCTCGCAAGCGTCGCCGTTTAGATGTTCAAACAGATTCCTTCGGAGAACATTTGCAGCTTCCGATCCCCCAGGCGCAGAAAGAACATCGACCTCCGCCATTTGGACCTTTTGCGATTCTCAATGGGCTGAATGAACCACCCCCAAACGCTGCTCTCCTGCCTCCTATCGAACCTGGCTCCATCACGCAACTGCTCACCAAACCATCGCGGGATGCCGCTGTTGAGTCCGTTACATTGACTGCTACCACGACGACGGTTACTCAGACGGCTGAACGAAGGGAAGGGAGAATCGAGGATATCCTTGACTCCCCCATCGATGACAAGACTGCCAGTGCTGACCAAGACCCTGTGGAAGCAAACGCTTCAGCGAACGGGGCGACCGTTGATCGACCCGAGGGCGACAGTGAAAAGTCGGAATCCGACAAGACTCCTACTCCCCCTACGGATCATGTCGAGCCGCTTTCTCCAAAGACGAGGGGACGCTCCCGTAAGAATCTTCGCAAATGGACTGAGGAGGAGACGACCGCATTACTCCGCGGGGTGGTCAAGTGCGGTATCGGTAATTGGACGGCTATTTTGGCGCAGCCAGAACTGAAATTCAACAAACGAAGTGCCTCAAATTTGAAAGACAGGTATGATGTGGATGCAGTCTCCGAGAAGCCAAGAGCTAACATCGACCTTTGCGTCGTCAGGTTCCGCGTTTGTTGTCCCTGGGCATATCGGTGAGTTTCTACTTTCACATTCGTCTGTTGCAGCTCTAATTTTGTATAGCGCTGCCGACCCGAACGAGGCCACAAAGCAGTTGCACGATACGCTGGCCAATGCACTCCTCAGAGCTGAGACGGAAGGTTCCGATGGCACAGCTGGAAAGATTCTACTTCCACAACCAAGGCCGACCAATTCTGAACCTCATACCTCCAATGGAGGGTCAATGGCCAATGTGAATGAGTCAGCCTCTACCGGCTCGTCCTCGGAAGCCGATACAAAAACTTCGAAGTCCCGCTCGAAATACGGGCCGTCTTTCAAGGCCACTCCTACTCTTTCAAATAGATCTAAATCCACTCTTGCCTCTCTCGGCATCCCTGAACCACACTTTGCCATGAAATCCCGGCGTCGCTCCCGCCGCCCATTTACCGTCGCTGAAGACGAAGCTCTACTCAAAGGGTATGCCGTCCACGGATTTCAGTGGACGCTCATCCAGCAAGATAAACGCTTGAACCTTAGCCACCGGAAGGCAACCGATCTTCGAGATCGATTCCGAACTAAGTTTCCCCACGCGTATCGTGACGGAGGCTCCGTCAATGGTAGATCGTTGCATAGCCAGAGTCAAGGCGTAGGCCTGGCGGATACAAGAAAAGCACCTCCCATAAAACCCAATACGCAATCTACTCGGCAATCCACGTCCTCCGCACGGGGCGGTAAAACTGATTGGGCAGACCAAGTCTCCTTGGGACCTATTGATCCGGCCCTTTCCCCCCCTGCTCCTCCACAGGGTTTGCTCGAGGCGGCGGCAAATGCCCCAGCGGGAACTACCATTTTGCATTTCCCACTGGACGAGAACTCATCGAATGCCCCCGGCGTTGACGCATCCTGGGCCGATAACACCCTCGCACCGATGGTCTGGGACGAGCTGGCCTAATTCTACTTTCCTCCATACCGGCCTTTTATTGGCCTTCTTACTCTCGCTCACCATCATCTTTTAACTTTCCCACTTACACTCGTTGCCGTTTCAAGCTTCTTCCATTTCGGGCCCTTTTACAGTCTTCTTCTCGTTCTTTCCTGTCGCCTCGTTCCGTCCCTTGTTTTCTTATCGCAATTGCTTTGTTTTTGATCAAACCAATACCCCGCAGTACACGATGGTTTTTGCTAATTTGTTTTTGAAACACACCCATTTTATCCATGCCGGCTCAGCGTTGGCAGCAAAGGGAATAGGAAAGGGAAAAGGAAAGGGAAAACTAGAAGAGACTAGAAGAAACTAGGTTTCTACCGGGGACGAGACAGATAATAATTCTCCGGAATCGAGATATCACCTCCTTTTCATCTCCCGGAAAGATCCTTCTGGGGTCTCGTAGACCTCCTCGACGTATGTGATTATTACAGGACCCTTACTTGACTGAGGGAAGGAATTAGAGTCTTGAGTAGCAGAAGTTCGTATTGGGGCAATGAAATTAACGCTGAATTAGCGAAATCACGACGTTCGCCATGCTGTCAAGACGGCAATCATAACGTAATGGGAAAAAAGCAGATGGGATATGTGAACCAAGTGCGATATACGGCAATAGTCAAAAGTGCAGCAGTCTGGAAACACACAGTCACCGTACTGCAATACTAGCAAACAAAGAGATGCCGCCCCCAAAGTGTCTTGAGACGAACACAGAAACGCTGCTTTACACTTTTGCGCTCCCGCGCAACAAACCAAAGGTGGAATTCAACAGTTGTATGAGGCTTGGGAAGGGAAGGCGGAGAGGGCGCTAGAGCGGAAACCGCAGCGAACACGACGTATATTTGAGATGCTGGTGGTCAATGGAGAGGTTGTAAGGGAAGATAGGAAAGGATATGACCGAATTGGAGGGTGACGAGACGACCTTGACGCTGGAAGTATCATTTACCAAGCATTGCGGTCCCAGTTTGGATCTACACGGCCGTCAGCCCTTCATTTCTTCGTATTCCATCGACCAAGGAAAGAGAACTCACCTTGTATAAAGCTGGCTAGCACCTTACTCCCCGTCTGCAAAAGCGGATGACCGGCAACGATCTGCAAGAACCGCTGCAAGCCCTCGCGACGATGCTCGATTACGTCGTCGCTGAACCGGTTCGTGAACACTTTCCCCGGCAAGGGGGGGATCGTCACTCTCGTGCTTTCGCGCTCTAGGATGTCGCGGAAGTATTCAAAGTCGGAGTACCGTCGGCGCACGACCGAGTGCTTCAGTTTGAAGGCGGGGATGTTTGTTCGGCAGACGATCTCGTACGAGGTGTACATGTTGCGGGATGTGCCATGTGTCTGGGGATTACGGACCTGGGTACGATGTGAGGTTAGTCTCGCGTTGTTATTGGATTGTAGGTGAGTCGGATTGCGAATATGATATGGGACTTGTCGGTGACTTGATAGAGTGGGGTAGATTCGGCATGAGAGTTGTCGGTTGCGTACCTCAATCTCGAGAAAGTTCTCGGGAGGCCCGTAGATCTCCTCGAATGTTTGTTGTCGCGATTCAGGGACGGCTTGCATTGTCGATGACCGGGTGTCTTGCGCGGCGTGCCCAAGGGTGAACGGGGAAGATAAATAGGATGCTGAGCGGGTGGGGGAAGGGACCGCGGGGAAGACGGATGTTGCGACTGGTCAGTAAGGTAGGAGCACGACTGTTACAGGGTGCGCGGGCTCTCGAGGAGGAAGAGAAGAAGAAGTGGATGTCTTTAGACTGTTACGATGATATGGGAAATTGTAGCAGAGAAGTGGGAGAGAGGGTTTCCCACGATTGCGTCAAGAATGCCTGATGGCAGATGGATCTCTGTGCTATTCATGGATGATCCTTGTCTTCTTCTAGACCTTTCTGGGTAAAGTGACGGGTGACAGCTCGCATTATCATTGATCCGTTATCGGGGTTCTTATCTATCGCTTATCGAGACACTCCTGATCCTGCATACGTCAATGCAATGGTCAGTGGACAAATTAAGTAGACACAAGTGCAAGAAAAAGACGAATCATTAAGGCAGAGCTGGTTGCCTGTCGCGCACTACCTGACTACAAATGCCTAGTCGAAAAATTAAAAGACCCAGAAATGAAATCCTTAGGAGCCCATTGCATCCTCCTGCAGCTCCTAATGCACAAAGACCCATCGTCGATTCTCGAAACCAGTAGCCGGAGAGCTTATTCGCAGATAGTGTGCCACTCATCCCTCATACTCCAAGCATCACGAGGGGCCCGAGTCTCATCCTTGTCAGACGTGCGATTGCCCCAGAAGTGGCAGTCAATGTAGTTCGTATACGTGTCGGGCACGTTGTAGAATGTCCCCTCAATCTCTCCATTTCCAAGGAACCTCATCTCGCCAGTGCAGCTAGGATTTGCATGAACCTCGCCGCTGACCTGATCAACACCGCGCCACTTGAAGAAGCATCCACCTTCGCCTGAAGAGGTCACTCGGTACGGACGCTGCGGCATAAAGAGAATGCCTTCTAGGTCACCAATCTGGAATTCACACCAGATGCTCGTCCTGTCCAGACAGAGAATCATTCCTGAATTGCGAGTGTTGACTTCTTGCGAGTCGATCTTGTACGATCCGTTAAGAAGACCGAGCGTTATCCGTTGCTGTTGAGGAATCTAGGTTCAGCGAAATGTGAGCAGACTGTTAAGCGGGGCCAGAGAAGGGAGCAATGCTTTAAGATTTCTTTTGCTTACTTCTCCATAATTTATTTGCGCTGGTTTATTCCTGGAGTTGTCTTCCTTCCTCTGCTTTTCTTCAGTCTTGGTTCGTTTCAAAGGGAGTTGACCGTTTCTATCCTCTACGATCCCAAGGTTGACATTGACGTTCAAACTAGGTCCTGTAGTCCTTGCGGCGGCCAGGATAGCAGAAAGATCATTTTCGTCGATCGCGTCTTCAGAAGCAACATTAGCCTTGCGATTTGCCGGCTTGCAAGAAGTTTCCTTCGCTTTCTTCTGGTTCGCATTCCACTCCTGTTTGAGTTCTTTCTCCAGCCTTTTTAAGTGAGCAGGCACTTCTAGCGTGTCATGATTCAATGCATCTAAAAGTCGCAACATCGCCGTGCCCTTGCGATCTGATGGCTGGAGGCCATAATGAAGGAGCTGAGCTCGGTACCAGTGAGCAGGCTGGTCCTGGACAGACGTTTTCGAAGAGGACGAGAAGAAGAAGGCCTTGAGTTCAGCGACGCTGTAGCGACGGTAGGGCTTATTATTCGATATGGCGTAGAATTCATGGTTGTAATATTCAAACCCACCCCGGGTCACTGGAGGTGTGGGACTCATTGGACTCGAATTAGGGGTAGCGGTGAGATGATTGATTGTATGGCCTGCGTTCTGCCTCCTTTATCACTTCGTGGCAGAGTCAAGAACTTGAGGATTAGGGGATATTGAAGGAATGGGCGGGGTAATCAAGCGAGCAATGGTCACGATGATGTATGACTGTGAGTGAAGTATAACCTCATTCTCCATTCATCGAAGTTGCCTGGCCAAACTTGGCTCAACGACACAGCGTATGTGTCTTTCATCCTCTGTTGAACATTCAGAAAGGTTGTCAGCGTTCCGAATAGGACCTCAGGGCTGACTGAATCTCGGTCTCATACCTCGCTTTGGCGCCAGATGCTAATGAAAGGTACTCACTAGCTCTGCTAGTAGCTCAGCGCTATATATTGGTTTTGACAAAGATGAGCCCTCAGAATGACTGCCCCAGTGGTTTCGTGTGCTGATGGAACACAGGTTGAATGATGGTTAGATACCAGTAAATGGTAACTTGGCGTCTTAGAATCTAATGGCACCACTGCGCATGCTTTGCAGAGTAAACAATGCAGTGCTCAATACTGGAGACTCCCAAGGTCTCGCAGGTCCAGGCGTATATACAAGCGACTGTGAACGAAGATTCCTTCAACACAGGGAGAGATTATACAGGTTGCCAGGTCGCCAGGTCACCAGGTTGCCAGGTATAGGACTGGTAATTACTGGTAGGTCACTGATAATTACTAGGTTTATGCTTGCTAGGTTGCTTACCTAAGATTTTTATATAGGTTACTAGATATAAAACCTAGTAACCCACCTATATTAGATTATATACTAATTAGTAGTAGTAGTAATACTAGTAGCTACTAGCACTCCTAATAAATTACCTACCTAGTGAGCTTTAGTAATATATTATAAGAGTTATACAGGCATATAATTATTATTATGCTTATATTTATAGGTTAGATTATTACTAACTACTAGTTACTCCTAAGAAGCCTAGATACTGTGCTTCCTCCTTAATATCCTAGGCCTAATAGATTATAGAGTAGCATGCTATATGTACTATTCTAGTTCTCTATATAAGAATACTATTAACTATACAGAATACTGCTAATTTCTATTAAATTTTATTAGGCACTGGTATTAAGTATTCCTAATTAATATCTTAACTCTATTCTATAGCTTAAGACTTAGTAATATAATCTCTATATTAAAAGATAGATATTTAATAAGCTAAAATCTAATATATTACTTCTATCTAGATCTTCTCTTCTTAGTCTTTCTCCTCCTAAGGTTAGTTCTAGTTCTCTAGCTTTGTAGTATGCACTAATACTATATTACTAATTATTTATAGGATATCCTAAGTTTAGTAACTCTCTAACTTTAACTACCTTTATAACTTACAGTAGTAATAAGCAGCTATATTAAATATTAGAAAATTAGTATAGAAGCTAGTAGGATCTGATATTACTTATATTAAAATAAGTAATAATTTCCCTCCCTATTTATATAGTAATTAGTATAACTTCCTAGAAAGTACTGCTTTAGTTAGATATAAGTATAATATAGACTATTACCCCTTCTATAATAATTATATAGGCTTATAGCTTAGGTTCTAATTACTTATAGTATCTAGGCCTCCTAATTAGTCTTTAAGTAAAGCTAAAGAGGATACTAAATATTCTAGAGTTAGAGATCCTTATAGATAGTGCACTATATAAATTCCCTTATTATTTTTATTAGATTCTCCTAGTATTAATTAAGATTAAGAGCCTAGGTAGCTGCTAGGCCTATAGTAGCTAGTAATATCTTAAGTTAATAAGTATTAGTCTAGTAGAATAAGTCTAAATAGAGATAGTAGTAACTAATACCTAGTTCCTACTAATTATTAATAGTAAAAAATTACTATTTATACTTAATACTACTTATAGACTATAATATTATAGTCTATTAGTAACCTCTACAGTCTCTAAAATTAGATTATATTTATTCTTTATTATTTAGGACTACAAGATTATAGACCTACTATTCTTTATTATAATTATAAAACTATAAAATACTTATTCTTTATTCTTTATCTTAATCTTTATCTAAAACTATGTTTAATCTTTATCTTTATATTCTAGTATTTTTATATATACTATAATCCTTTATTCTTTCCTACTAGCTACTACTTCTTTACAAAGATACTATAAATTAAGATAGTATAGTCTAAAATAGCTATTATTAGTAGTTACTAGTATAGTATTATAGTAACTAGGTGTCTACTCTATACTAAAGTAGTAGCTATTTATAGTAAATAAATTAATATTAACTAAAGGATCTACCCTTTTAGTATTCACTATCTTACTCTCTATAAGCTATATTTCTAGTAAATACTATAAGGTAAAACCACACTAACCTAAAGTAGCTAGTATAGATATAACTAAAAGTAACTTAGAATACTTACTTCTTTCTCCTTCTTTCTACTTATCTTAACTACTATAAGTAGGTATATTAATACTTATTAGAGTATTCCTTTTCTTTAATTTTATCTTCTTCTTTTATATATACTTTATAGAGTGTTAGAACTCTTTATTTATTATCTTTTTAAGATAATAAATAGTATGGTAGGTAGGAAATTAATAAGATTAGCTTATTAGGCTAGAGTATTACCCCTTATAGTATATAATCTATAGTTATATAGATATACTCTTAGGCACTAGATACTAATTATATTATATTCCTTATCTAACTAGGCTAAGCTACTCTAATAATAGCTCCTAGTTCTACCTATTCTCTGGTATACCTTACCAGCCTAAGATAAGATTACTAATAATAGGGTCTTATAGTATTACTATAGATTACTAGTAGTTACTAATAGTATTATAGGATTACTACTACCTTTAATCTAGTCTAGATATTACTAGCAATCTCTAGTTAGTACTAGTCCAGCACTATATTATGTATGATATTAGTTACTAATTTAGATATAGAATATAAGCTTAAGTATAAGGAGTAGAGTGTAAAGATAGAAGCTTTAAAGAATATCTAGGTATAAGTATTATCTTCTAGTATTACTAAGGATTTATACTAATACCTAGTTATTACTAGCCTGTAAGATATATATAACTACTACTAGGGTTAGAAAGGTTACTCTAAATAGCTCTATACTAGACTAATTATAAGTAGTAAATACTAGTTATATTAGGTTTAATAAGTATTTACTAGTAGTAGAATATCCTAAGATATACTAGGCACTGCCCATACTATAAGTATGCTCTATAAGTTTCTAAATCCTACTATATTTTACTAGTTTAGTTAATAGGAATGGTAATTACCAGTGGTAATAAGTAAGATTAGTCCTAGGTAGTAACTATCTATAAGTATATAAAGAAATTATATTATATAAGTCTACTAGATACTATAATTTACTAGTAGTAACTACTAATAACTAGTTTAGCACTCTAATAGTTTTTAGGGTCTTTATATAAAATCTTCTATAACTAGCACCTGCTTATATATCTTAGTAATAACTAGTTATTTCTAGTTAAGTCTATAAACTAATATTAGCTACTAAGTAATCTTATTACTTCTAAGTTAATTCTAGTAACTTCTAGTAATAACTAGATAAGTGGCCCTACTAGTAAGGATAAGGGAAAGAATCTAGTTACTTCTATCATCTCCTAGATATTACCACCTACTACTAGTAAAAGGATAAGGTCTAACCTAACTAGTAAGGCCTAGTAGTCTATAAAGGCTACTACTTCTTCAGTAGTAATTAGTAATAACTAGTATACCCTAGGAACTGCTAGTAGCTCTAGTAGCACTACTAATACCATTCCTAAGAAAGCTCTAGTTAGTACTAGTAGTACTAGTAACTCTACTAATACTATTCCTAAGAAAGCTCTAGTTAGTACTAGTAGTACTAGTAGTACTATTAATACTAATACTAAGAATATCCTAGTTAGTGCTAGTAATACTAGTAATACTACTAATATTAACACTAGTGCCAAGGACCTCCCAGTCAGTGCTAGTAATACTAGTAATACTACTAATATTAACACTAGTATTAAGGACCTCCTAGTTAGTACTAATAATACTAGTAATACTACTAATATTAATGCTAGTACTAAGGACCTCCTAGTTAGTGCTAGTAATACTTAGAATACTATTAATATTAGTCTCCTAGACCTAGAAAGAGCTACCATCCTCACTACTTCCTTATTAGAATAATTAGTTCCTACTAGTAATGACTATGATATATAAGCCTCTACTACTAAGGAGGAGTCTAACCTATCTAATACTAGTAATAGAGGGCCTGATGTATATATTAGTAACCTTTATTTATTTATATTTCTTATTACTAACTACTAGTAGTGCCTGTAGTTAGTATTACTATGCAGGTAAGGTAATATATAACCTAGGCACTATCTCTTAGTATAAATAAATATATCCTAGCTCTTACTAGTACCTACTACTCCTACTAATCATTTAATAGGCTGAACTGCTATAAACCTTATAAACCTTGTAAGAGAGGATATTATTATTAGATATATATTACTAGGAATCTTAGTAATTAATAGTAGCTAATAGTAATGTTAATTTAAAGTACAGGACTATTAGTATTATTAACTATTAGTTATACTATTAAATAGTAGTTATAGCTAATCTAATAAGAAATCTTTTACCCTAGTATCTTTAACTTATATTAGCATACATATAGTAGTTTAACCTTAAATAAGCATAATTAACTTAGGAATTAGCTAACCCTAATACTAGGCTAGACTATAAAAGAAGGCTATTTACTATCTATAACTTATCTTCTTTATCTCTCTAATCTTATATTAAAGCAGAGATAAAGCCTATACTCTCTAGATAAGTTATAGCCCTTTCTATAGTCTAATTACTACTAATTTAGCTATAGCATACTAAGTAATATTATTATTACTCTTTAATCTTATCTATATTATAGCTACTAGGCATGCCTAAATAATATTAGCACCATCTTAGTAGATTATATATACTACTTATAGGTCTAGTAATCTCTA